CACCTGGGCTAAAACAGACAAACACACAACAATCACACCAGCTTCACCTGTTGACGAGAATATTCAAGATCAGCATGCTAGACTGAATCACGAACAGTATCTCATGCCATTAAGTAGATCACAGGCAAATATCCGATAGCTAACAAAAGGACTCGCGTGACGCTGTATATATCGATAATAAGTTTCAACTTTTGGAAGATATGGACGTCGCCGTGCGCGAAATAGCAGCAATTCGCTTCGGAAGGGGAAAAGTAGATCCTCAGTACTTCCACCTCATATAACATGGATTATATCTCCCTAAATCAGTGGAATTGCGGAGGACTTAGAAAGAATTTTAACGAAGTACAACTACTAGCATTCAGTTAACAAGATGTTTTATTTGAAACAAAACGATAAGTTCGAATTGAGTCAATACCATACTTATCATTCATTTTCACACCCGGGTGACAAAGCCACTGGTGAATCTTTCATTTTGGTAAAAAACATGGCATTATTCACAGCCCTGTCCCTCTGTTATAAATGCAATCCCAAGCTGTGCCTGTCCGTTTTACTTTACATACAGTCATTACTCTGTGTCCTTTGCGTATATTTCAGTTGTTGGCGATCTATAGCCCATTTTTACATTGCATTTTCCAGATAGTGCTATCAGTTTTAACACTAGTTTTAGTTGTAATTGTGATATTCTAGTTGTTTTACTGTCCTTCGTCGACAGGTTTTTATAATAAACATATATTCCATTTCAATGTCAAATATGTTCTCGTCACGATATGGCTTAAAATTGCCGATGTGAAGTTAAATATTAACTCACTCACTCACTCACTCACTCTTTGCGTATCTCACCATCTTCAACTCTTCACGAGTCCGATTTTCAAGATTTATTTGACTAACTACCTAAACCCTGTATCATCATGGGTGATCTTAATGGACATACCTTACTATGGGGAAGTACTGATATCAACATTAAAGGGAAACTTAAAGCTTCTTGAAGATTTTATCTCTAATAATTATGTATGCATACTCAACGATTGCTCTAACACACATTTACTCCCTGCAGCGGGAATATATTCTGTTCTTGACCTGCCACTCACCTATTCAAACGTTTATGATGAATTTGAATGGTCAGTCCATAATGATCTCTGAGGAAGTGACCATTTCCAACAGCAACTTAACACTTTTGATTGAGGCTATGTTGAGAATGGAGAGAGAGAAAAGGGCTTCACTTTAACGGACCAGTTCTCTTTACATAAGGCATTTTATAATACCACAAAGTGATATTTAGGTAGATATAGTACCAATTTATTGATTTAAACACATTTCAAGATACATGTGTGAGGTTTAAGGTGCGTTTGAGAGCCCGGACCAAGCCGGACCGAAAGCTTGTGATAGTGTGTCTTTGTTGAGAATGTATAGAAAATAGGGCGTCACTTTCAGCAGGGTGTTTGCTTCACATACAGCACTTTGAGACTACAAAGACGTACTTAGGTAGATATAACTCTATTCTATAGATACAAACACAAATCAGTATACATGTGAGGTTGAAGCTGTTTCTGACGGCCCGGACCCAGTCGGGCCGAACAGCGACTTAACACTTTTGATTGAGGCTATGTTGAGAATGGAGAGAGAAAAGGGCTTCACTTTAACGGACTAGTTCTCTTTACATTAGGCATGTTGTAACATTACAAAGTGATATTTAGGTAGATGTAATACCAATCAATGGATCTAAATACAAATCTGGATACATGTGTGAGGTTAAGGTGTTTTTGAGAGCCCGGGCCTAGCCGGACCGAACGCTTGTGGTATAGCTACCATGTTGGGAACATAGAAAGACGGCATCACTTTGAGCAAGGTGTTTGCTTCAAATACTACGTTTTGAGACTCAATAAAGAGGTATTTAGGTAGATAGAATACTAATCTATGGATTAAAATACAAATAAGGATACATGTTTGAGGTTTAAGTTGTTTATGACATCCCGGGCCAAGTCGGGCCGAACAGAGACTTAACACTTTTGATTGAGGCTATGTTGAAAAATGAGTGACAAGGGCTTCACTTTAACGGAGCAGTTTTCTTTACATGTTGCATTTTATAACATTACAAAGCGATATTTAGGTAGATATAATACCAATCTTTGGATTTAAACACAATTCAAGATACCTGTGTTACGTTTAAGTTGCTTTTGACGGCTCGAGCCAAGCCGGACCGAACAATTGTGGCCGAGATAACGTTGAGAATGTGGGGAAGAGATCGTATCATTTAAAGTTGGCATGCTTTAAATACGATGAATAGTGAATTTAAGGGGTGGTATGTGATTGGATATAGATGTAAAATTATTTTCGGGCCGACGGAAATGTGTATCGGAATTGAATGAAGTATTTATACGTTTTAAATCCTGTTTCGTGTAACGATTCCACTTTTAGACGTAACCTCGGTTAGCCGTCTTCATGAGTTTTAGCCGATTTACTCGTAATAAAGTTATTATGGTACGCGTTTGTGGCTTCCGATTGATCAGTATTATCATGAGTGTATGTTGCATTAATTAAAGGTAGGCATGGTTTTCGTTAATATAATGAGTTTATTAGCCAATAATATATTTGGGCCGCCTTGGCCCGGCCCGGCCCGACTTTTAGACCATTTCTTATCACGGCATTGTTTCGTTTGGTAGCCAAGATACCATTTTTTCCAGTGTGTAAGTGTATTTAACACTGAGTCGTTTTCATAAGTGATTTGTAGTTGCAAACCCACAAATGACCACAGCTTTCATTCATTTCCACAGACAACCTGTGGGTAAAGTTGTTTGAGTTCAGGCTCTCATCTTCGTGTAAACTCGAGTCTCGTCTCGTCCCATACCTGTTCATGAAAGAATATGAAAACTAATATTGCAATGAATGCCCAATATCACATCAAGTACAAAACAAGTTAGGAGTTCCCCGCCGTTTATCAATAAATTATTTCCGAATGAAATGATGAGTCCGAAACCACTCTATGCCCAATATCACCTGTTCCAGTAAGCAGTTTACTGTGATATACATGTACATGTATGGTATATGTTCTCGGGATCTCTATGCGACAGTAGGATAATTGACTTTATCAACAATCACATTTAAATTTCTTATGCAATATACAAGCGTTTGCAAATTATGTGATATCACTTAGTCATTTCCCTTAACCCTGAAATGTAGGTGCGATGGGTGCGGAAGAGGTGAGCCAAGGGCGTATGTACGTTTGGTAAACATACCTAAAGAATCTGGGGATTATTGTTGTCACTTTCATTTTTGTTCAACCTTTACAAATATGATTGCCATGATAGTCTCGGTTAGCAATTACGCTAGTCTGCACCTCATGCCTCACTACACCTCTTATAAAATATTGCTGAATCAGAGTACAGACCAGTAGGTACTCATAAACCGTGAATTTGTTGCTCATCACCAACAATGTTTATGTCACATGAGGCAATAATTTTCCGACGATCTGTTAGTATGTCTCTTTTTCACTCGTGAACACATGCAACGAAATATTTCCCATGATAATAACCTTCCTCCCAGGATTGAATTACTAACAAAAGCTGTTATGACACGGATGCTGGAGGATAGTCGAGGTCATCCTGACCTAACACAACACACTTAACCTGATTCACCCTTTTGTATAGCTTCAACTGTATGTATAGCCATGTGACACGCCGAGAGCATGTGCTACTGAGCTGTCAGCAATGCACTTCGACAAACATGTCCCCCCCAAAAAACCGTCATATCACTCTTGCTCAGAAGTTGTTTGATCAAGGATACAACATTCGCGGCCTCAGTAAAGCTTTCAAAACGTTTGTGGAGTCATTTCGAGGACATCGGTGACAAAAATGATGCAATTCCCTAATTTGACTTGTACCATACGTTCACAAATTATTTCAGGTGCATAATTGACTAGACTCTGGATGTGCTTATGATGGTGAGTGTGTGAGTGAGTTTTGTTTTACGCCGCACTCAGTAATATTCCAGCTATATGGCGGCGGTCTGTAAATAATCGAGTCTCGACCAGACAATCCAGTGATCAACAGCATGAACATCGATCTGCGCAATTGGGAACCGATGACATGTGTCAACCAAGTCAGCGAGCCTGACCACCCGATCCCGTTAGTCCCCTCTTACGACAAGCATAGTCGCCTTTTGTGGCAAGCATGGGTTGCTGAAGACCTATTCTATCCCGGATCTTCACGGGTCAGTATATATAGGAAATACGTTACTAAAATACTTGATCATAATTGACAAAAGTCTTGAGTATATATCCTTACGTCCTTACGTACATCGTCATATTCACAGATCTTTGTTCAAATATGAGTTTTCAATTTACAATGAATATGTAAAATCAGTTCTAACAGCCATAAAACCTTAAACCCAACTGCTTTATCAAAAATGTTTTCCTGTAATATTAGAACTATAATATAATGTTGTGTATTAAGTCCACCTATTTTTATAATTCTTAATAACAAGCGTACATCAAGCGTAGTTTTCTAGTTGAAGAAGAATGGCATGTATTTTATATTTGTGAAACATATTCTGTCTGTATCAGTAAATACAATTACGAAAGAAATATGTTAAATAGTAATAGCAGTGATGTAATAAGTGGTTCATGTCTAGGTTTGTACCCTGTAAATAAGACAAGAAAAATGTACATGCGCATTGTGTAAATAATTGTGATAAAGTTTGTAAGTTGGACCGGAGGCCTTTTATGAAATAAACTGCCTGTGTGTCTGTCTTCCTGTCCATTAAAGTCAGTTCACAATTCACAGGCATGGAATGCCGTATTTAAGATGCATACAGTTGAACACATTCAGTGTTCATTTAGCTCTTTTTACTACAGCGACGAAACTAAATTTCGTTTTTTTTGCACTTTCAACACATGGACACAGAATAACACCAAACACTAAAACCAGCTTAATACTTAAAGCTCTAATCTGTAATGTCTAACTGACAATCTTATGTGTGTTGCAGGTCCAAGGAACATGGGTGTTTTGCGCCGGAGCCGGTCACGGGTTATAATCCTGTGTGTCGCTTGCGTGTGTCTGTTGGTGGTTTACACGATTTTGGCTGGTCGACTGAAGAAGACCAAGAGTTGGACATCAAGGTTACTCAAGGAATTAGGAAATAGTACTGTTATTTACCAATCATAACGTATTGTTGATACGTTAAGGGTGCAACGGGATAGTGACTGGATGAAGCAAAATCCAGAACACCGGTTACAGGGTGAGAAATTTATCTCATGTGCAACAACACACGGTGAAACAATACATGATACAATATATACAATGTCATGCTATATACACAATATATATACAATGTCATGCTATATACACAATATATATACAATGTCATGCTATATACACAATATATATACAATGTCATGCTATATACACAATATATATACAATGTCATGCTATATACACAATATATATACAATGTCATGCTATATACACAATATTTAAAATCAGTCATTACACCGTTGAGATGAAATACTAGTCATACATATTCTAAACACGTTAACAACAAGGGGTGATAACTCCTTGAAGTTGGGATTCAAATTACTCTCCTAATTCAGGACATTTAGACAGAAGGTTGGGCTCCTATGGGTACAAATTGCGCTCCTCTTCTTGCTAAGCGGTTCAGTGCATGGGACGCTTTCTTCTGGGATGGGAAAAAGTACCAAACACTTCAGAAGTATCTATGATCTGATGTATACTGGACAAAATAAATTAGGTATATTGGTATTTTTTGATTGATATTTTGTCAGTGTGTCAATGAATAAACAGATCATTCTTCATAATTTCAAAATTTACATATATCCCTAACTATTTTTGTCCAGTATAGTATACGGCGGTTAACCCTACGGTTTTACCCAACAGAGCTTAATTAAATGGGTCCGGTGAACCGTCCTCATCGATGTCCTTATTAATCTGTGCATAGAGATCCAAGGACAATTAATACACACATGGCTGTAAGAAGGAAGGTGGTTTCCACGTAGCAAAACCCCCTGAACCTCATATCCCGAAGCTTGGGCAACACTGCATCACACTGCATCATACTCTCTACCCAGAGTTCCATGTGGAAATGGGAACTGCCAGCCTAGTAGGTGCTCTTTGCCCTCAGAAATGGCAGATCCTATAGGTAAAGATGATTCCGACGATTCGTACGTTGCAATGGGAACTGGTTTGGCCAGGTATAAATGGGAACTGATCCTATAGACGTCCTGGATCTTGGCGCAGGTGCTGGCTTTGGTGTAGCCGGTGCCTCAGAAATGGCAATTGATCCTATAGGTAAGAGGTGATTCCGATGAAGGGTCCTCTTCCTCCCCTCTCCTGTTTCTCTCTGCACAACAAACACAGGGATATCCTGGTTTGGCTGCGAGAGAACAACAAACGGATCCTCTTCCCAGCGATCTGCCAACTTATGTTTTCCATCGAAGGCAAGTGCCTTTACTAGCACTCTGTCTCCAATCTGAACAATCGCGCCACGCACTTTCAAGTCATAGCCAGTCTTCTGTCTATCTTTGGCTGTCTCTGATGCTCTGGCTGCTAGCTCATAAGCCTCTTTAAGTTTCTTTCGAAGAGAATCCCCGTATGATGAAACTGATCCATGTCCCTGGCTGGTTTCAATGCCAAAAGCCAGATCAATTGGCAGGTGAGGCTCTCGACCAAACATCAAGTAAAATGGGGACTGGTTGGTGGATTCATGCCTAGTACTGTTATATGCATGGACAAGGGGAGCAACATAGCTCTTCCAATCTGTCTTCTTGTCAGGCTGTAGAGTTCCGAGCATGCTGAGCAGTGTCCTGTTGAAACGCTCAACCATTCCGTTGCCCATTGGATGATATGGAGTTGTCCTGCTTTTCTCCATTCCCAAGATGGTACATAGTTCCTTCATCAGACGGCTCTCAAAATTAGCTCCCTGGTCACTGTGTATACGCTTAGGAATGCCATAGTGTAGAATGAAGTTTCTAAAGCACACTTCTGCTGTTGTTTTTGCAGTCATGTTGCGTGTTGGAATCGCTTGTGCATATCTTGTAAAATGGTCAGTTATGACAAGTACATATTTATGACGTCCTTTAGAAGCTTCTAGAGACAAAAAGTCAAGACAGACTAACTCCAAGGGCTGGGAGGTAGTTATGTTCATCAGAGGTGCACGAGCATTGGTAGGAGACTTCCTGCGTAAACATCGGCCACATCTTTGAATGTAATCCTCCACATCCTAGTGCATTCCTGGCCAGAAGAAACGGTCACGTAGGAGCGATAATGTGCGGTCTCTCCCAAGATGTCCAACATCATCGTGCAATCCTCTCAATGCATAATCTATGAAGGCAGAAGGCAATACCAGCTGTTGTCGCTCTTGTCCATCCAGGATAACCTTTCTGTACAGAACTCCACTCTGTAATGTCAAGCTGTCAAAGTGCCGATAAAAGCATTATTAGCTGGACATGGTGGATAATCCTGTCGTTTTGGCTTCTTCCTTGCTTTAACCAGTGCTATCCATGATCTCAGAATGTCATCTCCAGTCTTGCTGTGTCATTGTTGTGAGATGCTGTCCAGGTGGATCCATATCTGTGTCCTCTGGTGATATGGAGAAGGACAGTGACTGTATAACAGGGTGACCTTGCAGAGTATTGCATACTGCTCTAACTGACTCAGCTGGCATCTGGGACTGTTGATGACAATCCTCTATTCCCGGGAGTCTGGAGAGTCCATCCGCATCAGAATTATTGAGGCCTGGCCTGTAGACAATGTGGAAGTTGTATGCAGCTAAGGCTGCCAGCCATCGGTGTCCTGTGGCATCAAGTTTGGCTGTGGTGAGTACATAAGTAAGAGGGTTATTATCTGTGTAGACAGTCAAGCTATTACCATACAGATAATCGTGGAACTTTTCAGTCACCGCCCACTTGAGTGCTAGAAACTCAAGGCGGTGAGCTGAATAGTTACCCTCAGACTTGCTAAGCCCTCTACTTGCATGGCTGATGACTCTTTTAATTCCTTCCTGTTCTTGGTACAGAACTGCACCTAGGCCACAGGTGCTGGCATCAGTGTGCACCTCGAATGACTTGCTGCAATCAGCATATCCAAGGACAGGTGGTGAAGTGAGAAGATCCGTGAGCTGACAGAATGCTGATTGTTGAGACGGTCCCCACAGAAAAGGTTTATCAGCATCTGCAGTTCTTGTATTTCCACGTTTCTTGGGTCTTGTACTGGGAATTAAGGAAGTCAATGGTTTGACAATCTTTGCAAAGTCTCGTACAAACTTACAGTAGTATCCTGGAAATCCCAGAAACTTTCGAACTTCCTCAGGATTTCCAGGAATTGGCCAACCCTTGATCCGTTGTACCTTATCTGGATCAGCTTCTATACCATGCTCTGAGACGACATGTCCAAGAAATTTGATCTTAGTCTTGAAAAAGGAGCACTTGTCTGGGGTGAGCTTCATTCCAGTGTCTCTGACTCTTTGAAGGATCTGTTGAAGACGCTCCAGATGTTCGTCATAGGTTGTGGAGAACACGATAATATCGTCCAGGTAAATTAGACATATTTTTAGGGTGGAGTCCATCGAAACACTCAGCCATGAGCCTCTGATATGTTGATATGTATCTGATATAGTTATGCCTTGCCAGTTCCCCCTCTTGTAAGAGCATATTGCGGAATGCTATATACCATGGTGTATGGATATCAGCCTTTTGAAGAAATCGGCTTCCACACTGATTCTTGCATTCATCCATGTAGCAAGATAAAATATTTGTGCCTAGCCGCACTGGGACTGTGGTGTGATACGGGGTATCAGGGACAACAAGCATAATGCAAGGCAGTTTAGCTGAGGTTGCACCTACACCCTGTACTTCAACGTCTATATACCCATCAAAAGGGAGGTGCTGGCCATCTGCACACTCTATCTTCAGAATAGCATCTAAGGGCTGTAGGGGTGTAGCTGATAGGGAGTGAACGTAAAAACTATGGGACACAGTTGACAGTGTTGACACAGTATCCAATAAGGCTCTTGCCTCTATCCCATTTACAAAAACCGTTCCTTCATTAGGTTTACCTATCAGGGTGGCTACCGGCTGACTGCTGTTGGGTGGGCGTTTGTGATCAAAGCCTATGGTTTGCCCCGTCCCATAGGCGTCTTCCTGTTTAAAGAGAACTTGGAATGATCCAGCCTAACTCGACATCCATACTGTAAGTGTCCTGGCTGTTTACATCTGAAGCAAATAGGCTCTTGGGTGTCTGGACGTCTAGAACGATGCTGGTCCTGGGGAGTTCTTGAAGTTGGTTGATTCCACCTTTGAACCTGTGGTCCTGTGGGGGGCAATGACCAATGCTGCCCTGAGATGGGTATTGTGGATGCCAGTATGATTCTGACCCAACCGCTGTATTAAATCCCTGATGGCCATGTGAGTATTGCCATGGTGTGCTGTTGTCAGAATATGAAGTGTCCCGTTGCTTCTTCAGCTCAGCAACTTCAGTTGTTAACTGTTTCGAGATCCCCTTGATCTCCTTCATTTCAGGATCCTGGACTGCTACAGCGGCCATATTGGGGGTTGCACCCTTCTTCTCAGTCCTTGATCCCCTTTGCTGCAAGTCAGCCTCTGCTCGCCGAAGAGCTCGTAGAAGATCTTCATAACTGTTGCCCTGGTCAAATACATGTGCTGTCAGATCTCGCAGATCTGCTTTAGATCCTGACCATAGCTGGGTCCTCAACATCTCACTCCTGGTCTCCAGTGGGATGGATCCCTGTGTTGCAGCCTGGTTCAGTAGGTGTTCGAGCCTACAATCCCAAACAGCAATATCTTCCGACTCTCCCTGGCATGCACCATAAAAGCATGCTAACATTGACTTGTTCCTGTCATCGCTGCCGAAAATACTTTCTAACTTTGAGATGAGCTGTTTTAAATCAGCTTCTGGCCCTAGGCACATAGCAATAGTGGCTGCCTTCCCACGTAAAGAATGCTGCACAGTATTGGCAACAGCTTGTTGAGACAACGGTTTGTTCTGTAGCAAACATTCAACTTGATACTTCCAGACTTCGAATGAAGTCTTGCCCTTCTGTTCACCTGAGAAGGATGGTAATCTTGGGGCTTGTGTCAAGGTAACTGGTGACGGAAAACCAGAAGGAGATTGCTTCTGAAATTTTCCTGAACTAACTGCACCTTGAGGTTCATCTTCAGCCTCTACCTTGGTCTGAGTGTAACTCTTCATCCATTGTACTATGTCCTCTGGGCTATCGGACTTGGGCCAGGTCTTGAGCGCCTTGAAAGCTCCAATCAGATTCTTTACTTCTTCTGGTGTTGGTTCAGTCATAGTGACAGAAACGAGGGAAGTAGTCAAAAGTAAACGAAGAAAAGCAGGTGTGGTAACCGTATAGGTAAATGTCCAAATGTTCGCGAAATGAGCTGGCCATTTGACCTCATGAAAGATGAAAAATACCTTAGCTTGATACAAGAAAACCCAAAACCCCAAAACAATTAGGGCTAAATGCATGAGAAGGTGTTAGTTGTGATCGAGTGCTTGGGATGGTCATGAATCAGCTAGGGCAGCAGGGTAAGGGGACACCCATAGGGTATGTCGACTAAACCTAACACAACAACTACCCATTCGTATGAACCTCAACATCAAGCCAACAGAAGGAAACACAATTACTCATGATCCATGAAACCAGAAGCCTAAACACAGAGAACAAACCATGACCATAACCTGTTGAACAACACAACACCTATTTATGATATTAAAGTAGTTGTTGGTCTATTTACATGAATGCATAAATGCACTTTATTTGGTTTACTGCATGGAACTCAAACATTCATATATGTTGGGTATTCTCATTCACGCACACAATCACCGAAGTTGAGGTATAAACCCCACTAAATAACAGCTACGTTTATGGAAGTCAGTACTGAAGTGTATGAGCGCTCATTCTAAGTCTAAGTATTCACAACACATGCATGCAACAATATCTAAATTGGCCAAGAAATATTGTGCACGCAGGCACAACCCGGGTACATGATATTCAGAAAAATGTACAAGCAAAAATTCAGAACATGTTCAAACATTGACATTAAATAATGATCATGTGTACCTGAATTCCGTGTCTAAGTAATGGTTCCTTGAACCGCCGTTTTCAAACGTCAAGTATAACATCAGTACAGATCTGTACATACACAGTGTATAATATGTGTAGTTCGACCTACACTCAAGTGTCTCTATACCTGCAGGTAACAAGATACAAGTTGTATATCACAGGACAAAACGCACCTCGCGTCACGTTGTTCCCGTTGATCACGTCGTGGTTCCGTGAGCAGTTGTGGATAGGATCTCGAATGTTGATGACAGCAAGCTCGTCCTCAAATCTCCAGTTAGGCCATTCCTCACTGGGGGCTCCAATGTAGCAGGACTGCGTCAGTCAAGCACAGACAACAGACGCTACTTTTGTTGTTCTTCAATGGCCGATGTTTTATTGGAGATATGCGTAGGTGAAAACAACAACCCTGAAACAATCAGGTGTACAATATAATAAATGCAGCAATATACACATATCCTAAACACAGATATACACATATAATTCGTACATATGCTATAACATTACAAAATAGTTGCTTCAGTAAACAACTACTGTGTACAAAATGTATTTCATTTGATATACATAACATATATACAATATATAAACCTACCAGGTGTGTGGGCCTAGGTTTATTTCACACCTGGGGACGCTGCTGTCTTTGTATGAAATGTTCGTCTGTAGAGAAAATAACAATAATATGTACAGACATGCTACTAATGAACACATACAAAAGTATCCTCAGCACTGATGCAGTAATCACACACAAATTTGGCTGTAGCTGAGCAAGATATAAAACAATGCAAAATAAGACCTCATTCATTCATTCATTCATTCATTCATTCGTGCTTATTTTCATTCACCCATTTATGATTACAAAGCTATACTTGTGTTCATCCATTCATCACATGCTCACATGGTTAACCTTGCCTTTTATTAATCATGTTACTAATATTACATTATAATGAATGTAGAGTATTTATCACCAACTTCACAGTACTAATTTCAGATTAACACACACTGATACAACTACAAGTTATATCTACAAATGATATACATGAACAATAAATAGATAAAATATCCAAATTACCTTAGAATGTGATCCAAAGATATGTTAAGAAAATCCACATGGAATGTTGCTCATCTGACGATTGAATGTGGAGTGACCACAAACCTTGTAATGTGTAAAAGTGTAAAGCTTAGCTGATTGCCCAAGCTGGCTATAAAGACAAAAGAACGTAGGTGGGGAAGGGCTTATGTTATTGTGCTGTGTGGTGAACATGCGGTAAGCATGCTCAGTGAACTGGCTGTGGGTGATAGTTAGTTAAGGCAGGCTAAGTATCATGATAAAATAAAATGACTAAAGCTGTGCAATGAAATTTAAAGCATTTATTTACATGAATTCTTATCAATTTACAACATGTTAAAATATACAAAATCTGTTTCTTCCACATATGTACTGTCATAAACCTTACTGTCGTAGTTGTGGAAGAATATATATGTAACAATGTAAAACATTGTGAAGAGCGCGCCGAAAAGCTTGCCTAAGACCAGTCTCTTCTTATTATGAATATGCGCGCTTGTTACAAACAATTGTTGGTTTGATGTCACAACACATATTTCTCGGAAGTAAGTCTTTATGACATGACAACTGTTATAATTCATCACATCAGATGTAGTGGGGTTGGTGCACTTTATTTACTTGAATAGGGTGTGGGTGTTGGGGATGCGGGTGTTTTTTATATATTTTTGGGAAGATTAATCAGATAACAAAAAAATAAAAATAACAAAACAAAAGAACCCAAATACCATCGCCTTGTAACAGTTGCGTGGATATGTACGCTATATAAATATTCTATAATAATAATATAATAATAATATAATAATAATCTTTTATCTAGGCTACCAGACAAGTTCAGCACAGTTTCGTCAGATCGATGGATAGTTGTGACAACCATCTTCGACCCCACACCAGACATCAAGTTCATGGCAGAGATACCCGGGTGGAAGCTTGTTGTTGTCGGAGACACCAAGACTCCAAAGGACTGGAGGTAATGTCAGGGTCTATATGTATATTCAGAGGCGAAAGTAAATGATGACTGAACTATTAACGATTCCTATAAATGTATACATGATAATATATATTACCGTTTACCAATTCTGACACTAAACTTCCATAATAATATATGTTATCATTTCAGGCACCCAAACTGTGAATTTTTAAGCTTAGAAGATCAACGTAGTCTCGGTTTTGAATCAGAGTCACTTGTGCCGGAAGGGAGTTATGCCAGAAAAACAGTGGGATATCTGTTTGCAATAGCCCATGGTGCAACTGTAATTTATGAGACTGATGATGATAATCGTCCTCTTGATAATCTGAAATCCTTCATAATAGATCCAACAATGTGGGGAATCTTGTACAGAGGGGAACGGCTCTTTAATCCGTATCGTCATTTTGGACAGCCGACATTGTGGCCAAGGGGCTATCCACTTGGGTCTGTAGGGGAAAAACCAACATCTGAATATCTACTAAATCACTGGAAAACTCCATCCATTCAGCAGGGTGTGGTCAATGGTGACCCGGACATGGACGCTATTTTCAGACTGACCCGGAAACAAACCAGTTCTCAGCTGAATGTGACCTTTGATGTGAGAGCTCCACCAGCACTTGTTCCAGCGGGCGTGTTCTCTCCCTTTAATTCCCAGAATACCCTTTTTCTGTATGATGCATTTTGGGCACTCCTGATTCCAGCCTCTCCGACCACCAGAGTGTGTGATATCTGGAGAGGGTACTGGGCTCAGAGACTTCTGTGGGAGATAGGAGGAAATGTTGGATTCTTCCCACCAAATGCTGTCCAGAAGAGGAACGTCCACTCCTACCTGAGCGACGCTAAAGAAGAGACCGACCTCTACTTCCAGACAGAACGACTTCTTAATTTTCTGACCAAATGGAGGTGTGGGACAGGTTTGACATTCTTTGCTTGTGTGACTCAATTGTCAGCTGACATGGCACATCGAAACTTCTGGAAGGAAAGAGATGCAAGACTGACGAATCTTTGGATCAAGGATCTTGTGTCACTTGGCTACAAGGAACCACAAAGGATATGTTTTGGTTCTCTGAAAGACGGTGCTCAACACATACCAGAGGAGAAACTGCCAAACCAAACACGTCTGGCGGATCATCAGGTCAACCTCACATTCTGGGCAGCTGAGCAAACCCCACCTCAGATATATTCCCAAGGTACACACTCACCTGCAGTGTTTGCGCATGCTGCTAAAATAGCTTCATATTGTAGTAATCACTCGTTTACAACGCCAGAACTAAAACCAGTCATAACCTATCCAAACATCGTGTTAATTGTAGTGTTTAACTATCCACACTATGAGAACCTACAGTTTCTGGAGACAATGTACGGCATGCATTTCCCTCACATCGTGTACTGTGGAGCCAACAAAGATATATTCAACACCCACGCGAAGATACTTCCCAAGCCGTTGACCTTTATGGAGGTTGACCACAACGATGGCTGGTTTTTTCAACACTGTTTGATACAAGTGATGAAGATGCAGTTTCGAGTTGACGGCTACTTATTCATAGGAGACGATGTGCTGCTTAACGTGTGGAACATTCATAAGATGCCGTTAAACAAACTCTGGGTTTATCGCGCTCCAGTTGTACAACTGTCTAAAAAGCCAGTTGGCCATCGTGTTGAGCATCCCAAAGTAGGTATGACGGCATACAAGGCTGGTCTACAAGCTTTGAAAGCTGTGGATAGTCTCAGATACGAAAGTTTTACAAAGATGCTTTTCACCAATTCAAGGAAGAGAGACGGGTTCTATATTGGCCAAGCAGATATTCACTATGTTCCTGAACAATATAAAGATGACGTCCTTTACTACCTAGAACATTTCTCCCGATTTAATGTGTATATTGAGTTGATATTTCCCACAGTTGTCCGTGGAATAGAAAAGTTGGAGAATCTTTTCATGATGCCTGGAACCTACTTTTTGGTTGGTCCAGTCTCCAAGACGAAGAAGTATTTTAACAAAAATCACCTTTTTTGTCACACTGTAAAAATATCAAAAACAATATCTGTGAGTGAAGGGTTGGAATTTTATTGCAAGGTATTCTTCCCTCTTTCGTTGAACAATTAACCACTACTAGATTTGCCATGCAAATTTCTGTCACAGTGTAAACAAGTTCAATATTTTGTTAACTAAAACTTCAGTTATCCCAAATACTTGATTGTCAAACATGTATTAAAAGTATCAGTACCCCTTTGTCTGTTTAAGGGGCCGTGGGGCAGCCAAGTTGTTAAAGCTTTCGCTCGTCACGCCGAAGACCCGGGTTCGATTCCCCACATGGGTATAATGTGTGAAGGCCATTTCTAGTGTCCACTGCCGTAATATTGCTGCAATATTGCTAAAAGCGGCGCAAAACCATACTCACTCACTCATCCACTTGTATGCCCCTCTCCATCAGGAAATGTAATGTGAGTTTGTATGTCAGTAAAGACCCCGTCACCAGTGTCCACGAACATGGGACCCGTGAAGATATGGGATTATTATTGGTCTTCAGCAGCCCGTGATTGTCGTAAGAGGCGACTAGCGGGATCGGGTGCTCACTGACTTGGTTGACATTTGTCATCGTATCCAAATTGCGTAGATCGATGCTTTTGGTGTTGATCGCTGGATTGTTTAGTCCAGACTCGATTAGTTACATACCTCCGCCTAGTCTGTCTCACAGTCCCTGAACCACATTAATTTCCCTACTGCCAAGCCCTCTCTGCAGTGCTAAAGTCCTAAATAAAGCAAGTCTAGATTTCCTCAGGTTCAGGCTGAATCTCTGGTCTCCCTAGGGCTCCTTTTCAATATAAATGGACTTGTTTGTTACTATCAAAATTATATATATTCAGAGACTAAGCCTTAGTCTAACCTCCGCCATGAGGTGGAATATTGCTGAGTCTGGCGTTAAACAACACTCAATCAAAGTATGCAAACATGGGTCTCTGACGCTGCGCCACGGTGCGCCAGGATGCGATGTTAAGCCATCTATTACAACAAAGACATATAATTAAAATACTTGTGCAGTATGTTTTTCATAAATGGAAAGATTCCATAGGGATCGGGATAGATCTGATGGCCGTGTCTGGGAGCCCAGGAAAACATCTCATCGTCGTTACTAAATATTCAAATCCACACAGTAACACATGTAACACACGCTAACATCCCTCCTTAAAATCATCACACCCATTAAGTAACAATTTTATAGAAGATGATTCACCCGTTTTGTTACCCTGTCCAGTTTATATACATGCCAGAGATGACCTGTACGATAACTATATCTTAACTTGCACAGAAATTGCTAATTTTAATGATACGCAGAAAGTAAGTATTTTACTCGCCAGATCAGACGTGATTTTAGCAGTGGTCAAGGCCTGCAAAAAATGTTCATCTGCATACTGTTGTGATATTTTTAATGATGCTTATGTGATATGTTAATATTTTATAATTAAATAATTTATCACAACTCTCACACAGGGTGGTTTGTTACGTCTTAATATATGTTCTTATGTATGTATAACAGTTTGATTATGTAATGTAACCAGGTGACACTTTAATAAACTATCTGTCTCTCTGTCTGTATGTCTGTTTATCTCTCTCTCCGCGTTTGTTTACATGACGACTCCCGTGTGTCCCATTGGCTGTTTTCCCTGACGATCTACTCGTGAAGATCCGGGTTATAATTGATCTTCAGTAACCCAGGCTTGTCATAAGAGGCGACTAACGGGATCGAGTGGTTAGGCTCGCTGACTTGGTTGATACATGTCATCGTATCCCAATTGCGTAGGTCGATGTTCACGCTGCTGATCCCTGGATTGTCTGGTCCAGACTCGATTATTTACAGACCGCCGCCGTATAGATGGAATATTGCTGGGTGAGGCGTAAAACTAAACTCACTCACTCACTCACTGACGATCTATTTGGTTGTCTAAGTTCATTCAGTTTTCACACTCATAATGACATGTTTTAAGAAGTGATACATATTTGTACATAAGTATTGCAATGTTAAATAGCTTTCCATTTCAAAACAATAAATTTATACATTATATAACTTATCAACTTTAATTTTAAGTTAAGTCGTTTCTGGGATCATTCGTATCTATTTCAGCGTTTATATTTTAAAATTCTTCCAAGGTTAAAATCAGTGAGGTTGCATGCTAGTTCAGACAAATGGAAGTCACCGCGTACACTAAATCATTAAAGGACTCCCCACGTATCCTTCAGTCTGAGATATATTTAACATTTTCAAGTCATTCTTGTGCATCTGTTTTGGGACATTTTACTGTTGGCAAAATATATTCTCCCAAAAAAGAAACGCATCATGAAAATAGCAATTTCATGCAGCAATGAATTAAAACGTGATTCATTTTACATAAGGTTTTGCTCTGTTTATGAGTCCTATGGTGTTTATGTTTTGAAACATCACAACAAAACGCACCATCCGTAAAATATCCGTATTTAACAGCATGATTTTCAATTTCGGCGTGTAGTGTCACAGAATACACAATTCACATGCAATGCACGTGAAAGGTGGGGATCAGATAGTCTCAATGATGGGTATAAAAGGTTGATCGCTGTCTGTCGATTATTCACTGTGTTTGGAATATTGTTGATGAACGCAAAATGCCACGTCTAAGTGAAGCCAACCGTCATATCGCCATTGGTTTGCTTGAAGCTGGCCAGTCTCAACGTGCAGTTGCCCGACGCATGAATGTTCACCAAAGCACCATTTCACGGCTCTGGGAGAGATATCGCCGGCAGAATGCGGTAGCAGATGCCCCTCGTAGTGGGCGACCTCGAGCGACCACTGCGGCGCAGGATCGCTACATCCGGGTACATCACCTGCGTCATCGAACAGCTACGGCGACCAGTACCGCTCGACAAATACCCGGATTGAGGAGGCTTTCTGCACAGAGCGTCAGGAACAGGTTGAGAGAGGAAATCCGACGCCCACACCTCCTTCCAATCATTGATCGCCAGAGGGAGTTGTTTCAACTGGACAATGCCAGGCCCCACACACAGCACGTCACACTAGAGACTTCCTCCAGAATCACAACATCAATGTGCTCCCCTAGCCCTCAAGATCACCGGACTTAAACCCGATCGAACATCTGCGGGATGCCCTAGACAGACGGGTGCGACGCCGTAACCCTCAGCCCCAGACACTTCAGCAACCCGCAGAGGCACTACAGGCAGAGTGGGCTGCGATTGGGCAACACGAGATTCTGAGACTTATTCGTTCGATGCCGAGGCGATGCCGTGCAGTTCTGGATGCCCACGGTGGTCACACGAGGTATTGACTTTAGCGCCACCACACGTCTCCATGTGACATTCAAACTGACTTTCCTCGAGTTGGTGCCAAAGACGGATCAGTCTGCATTCCAAGTTTGCAATTTCGCTATATTTCATTGACTCATAAAGCCTACAAGATGTTTAAAAATAAACAAAAATACAGTTGAAATTCCTATATGCGTTTCTTTTTTGGGAGAGTATATTATTAAAGTTACCTATTAAAGAAACAAATCCCATCTACGATGCTTCAGGCATATTTGGAAATAGAAACTTGCAAATAAAAGCTGAGCAGCTGTTATTATTATATATATTTTCAACAAATCCTCTTTGTATTTAATACATCTTAAAATCTTATAAAATCGCCAATTTTCGACTGCTTCTGCAACTTTTATTACTGTTGGAATTACACAGAAATAGAGTAGGTCTGATGTTCATAAGCCAATGTGAAATCCTTCCAGATGGGCACGATTCGCTATTTGGCTTGTCCCGGAATAACACGAGTTGGTCACGAATGAGGTAGGGACACACGCTGTGAGTTGCGTCCCTTCAGTACATCAGAAACCTGTTTGTTGGTTCGAATCCCGGTGAGTGCGGCGTTAAACAAAAAACCAAACAAACACTCAATCGCCCTGATTAGTCAGGACAATTTAAAGATTGGCGTAAGAGGCGACTAACGGGACCAGGTGGTTAGGCTAGTCATGGTATCCCAGTTACGTAGATTGATGCTCATGTTGTTGATCACTGGATTGTCTGGTCCAGACAGATTTACATACCGACGCCATATAGCTAGTGTATTGCTGAATTCCGCGTTTATCAACAAACAAAGACGACAATTTAAGGTCAGAAATGAACCGACAAAATAAAATATCTCTGATTACACAATGCCATTTAGAAAGTGGTCAAATGTAACATATGTTATATTTGTAATTACACTTACTTAATAAAGTAGTGATTCTAGTATTTTTGTTGGGTTGAGTCCCATCCGGGATTCGAAGCCACACTCTCAGATTCGAAGCCACACTCTCAGAGTCAGGCACCAAATCCCCAGCACACAAAGTCAGCCACCTAACCCGCTTAGCCACCGTGACTTCCACACAGATGGAAATCGGACAACTGTTAGTCTAGACTGCGGACTTTGTGTACCCATCTGACAAGTGTAAATTGACACGGCTCCGGCGGCCGAAAGAACAGATTCGAGGTGGCTGAGCGGGTTAGGTGGCTGACTCAACCAAACAAAAGTACTAGAATCTGTACTTTGCTAAGCAAGTGTTATCCCAAATATAGCATATGTTACAAACAAATATTCCGTGTGACCTGATCAGCTGTTGACGGATAGATGATACGTTGATGGCAAGTTAATGATTTATATATTTATATAATTTACATTTTCCGGATGCCAAAGAAAACAGAATACACTAGTCTCTTCCTCTCTTCCAAATAAAGCAGAATCAGTGTTACAGATCGTTACTTTTCTTTTCTGATATAATAATAACAACTCTCATTGTAGTTTTTTAACCGACCGACCGGCCAAAGATTTGATCATGGTAGCTGCATGAAACATAAAAATGCACCCCGGTTGTGTTGACAAATCAAGATTATAAACCGTGTTGA